TGTGTGTGTGTGTGTCTGTGTGTGTGTGTGTCTGTGTGTGTGTGTGTCTGTGTGTGTGTGTGCGTGTATTTGAGTGTGTGTGCGTGTGCGTGTATTTGAGTGTGTGTGCGTGTGCGTGTATTTGAGAGAGCGAGAGAGTGTGCGAGAGAGTGTGCGAGAGAGTGTGCGAGAGACAGAGAGAGATAGACAGTGAAGCAGGGAAGATATGTAAATTATCCCACAGGAAGTCCAATTACTCACCTGAACCACTCACCAAGGATTTGGAGGCATAACTAAAGGAACAAAACAGAAATACACAGTCAGCAGAACCGACAGAACTACAGGACGATAAAAATGCTGTACAGAAAAAGTCAGGAAATAAGGGTCATCTCAGGGGTTTCTCAAGGGGTGCCTTCTGATGTTTTGATAGTGTCCCTTCCTTTGGGCCAGGAGGCCCGAGTTCAAGGCCTAGCTGCTCCGGACGGCATGATAATAACTCCAGACAGGTTCATTAAAAATATACATGCAGTGCTGGAAAAACGTCTCAGGACTTGAAGTGAACAGCATGTGTTCCTTATTGAAGTGTTTGTTGGGGACAATGCATAAGGAGCTTTACTCTATATGATCTCATATTATACTTGCGCTGGACTGTCTCATGCAACAGTGTAGTTTGAATTTTAAGCTAACTTTTAATCCTGCCTTTTAGCTGTTCAGGGGACAGTGTACAAAAAGCTTTACTTCCCATTTTAAAGACCAGAGGGAGCTTTACCCTGCATCTAATCCCGTGCTGTCCCTGTCCTAGGACCATTTGATAGGGGACAGTGTAGAGCGAGTTTTACTCTGTATCTACCCCTGTGTTGTCCCTGTCCTGGGAGTGTTTGATGGGGGACATTATAGAGGGAGTTTTACTCTGTATCTAACGCTGTGGTGTCTCTAGCCTGGAAGGGTTTGATGGGGTGTTGAGGTGGCTTTACTTTTAGTTTGAGGGCGTTAGAGTCATACAGCACAGAAACAGACCATTCTGACCAGCTCATCCATGCCGAAAAAGTTTCCTGAACTGAACTAGTCCAATTTGGCAGCATTTGGCCTCTATCTCTCTAAACTTTTCCCATCCATGTACCTCTCCCAATGTCTTTTAAACGTTGTAATTGTACTCCCCTCCACCAACTTCTCTGGCAGCTCATTCCATACACGCACTCCTCCCCTACGTCTGTGTGAAAAAAAATCGCCTCTCAGGTTCCTTTTAAATCTTTCCCCTCTCACCTTAAACCTATTCCCTCTAGTTTTGGACTCCCCCACTCTAGGGAAAAAGACTGTGGCTATTCACCTTTTCTATGCCCCACATGATTTTATAAACCTTGATAAGGTCACTCCCTAGCCTCCCTGTTCCAGGGAAAATGTCCCAGCCTATCCAGCCTCTCCTTCGAACTCAAGCCTTCCAGTCTCAGTAATGACCTTGTAAATCTTTTTTCTGCATCTTTTGTAGTTGAATAACCTCCTTCATACAGCAGGGCGAACAGAATGGCCTGCACGCTCCAAATCTGGCCACACCAATGTCTTGTACAGCCGTAACATGACATCCCAACTCCTGGACTCAATGTTCTGACCAATGAAGGCGAGCGTACCAAATGCCTTCTTCACCGCCCTGTGACACCACTTTTCAGGATCTACGTACTTGCATCCCTCGGTCACTCTGTTCGACAACACTCCCCAAGGCCCTGCCATTAACTGTGTAAATCTGGCCCCGGTTTGTCTTACCTAAATGCAACACCAGACGTTTATCTGAATTCAACTCCATCCGCCCCTCCACGGCTCACTGGTCCAGTTGATCAAGATCCTGTTGTATTCTGAGCTAATCTTCTTCACTGTCCACTATGCCACCAATTTTGGTGGCAACCGCAAACTTACTCATTACGCCTCCTATATTCTCATTTATATAAATACTTTTACTCTCTATCTGTCCCTGTCCCAGGAGGGATTGATGGGGATGGTGTCAAGAGAACTTTATTTTCCTTTTTCATTTCAGTTTCAAAAGAGTACAATTAGCTTTACACTGTACCTAATCCTGTGCTGTGTCTATCCTTGGACTGGTTGATGGGTACAGTGTTGAGGGACATTTACTCTCGATTTAAGGAGTAGAGGTGGCTTCACTTTCAGTTTAAGAAAATAAAGACGGTTTTACTTTCTGTCCTGGGAGTGTTTGATGGGGACAGTGTAGAGAAAGCTCTACTGCGTATCTAACCCTGTGCTGTCCCTGTCCTGGGAGTGTTTGATGGGAGACAGTGTAGAGGGAGCTTTACTCTGTATCTAACCCTGTGCTGTCTCTGTCCTGGGAATGTTTGATGGGAGACAGTGCAGAGGGAGCTTTACCCTGTATCTAACCCCGTGCTGTCTCTGTCCCTGGGAGTGATTGATGGGGGGACAGTGTCGAGGGAGCTTTACTCTGTATCTAACCCCGTGCTGTCCCTGTCCTGGGAGTGTTTGATGGGGGACAGTGGAGAGAGAGCTTTCCTCTGTATCTAACCCTGTGCTGTCCCTGTCCTGGGAGTGTTTGATGGTGGGGACAGTGCAGAGGGAGCTTTACCCTGTATCTAACCCCGTGCTGTCCCTGTCCCTGGGAGTGTTGGATGGGGGGACAGTGCAGAGGGAGCTTTACCCTGTATCTAACCCCGTGCTGTCCCTGTCCTGGGAGTGTTACAATGGAGAGTTTACAGGGTTTCTGTGTTTGACAGAATGGGAAGAATAAACATTGACGATGCTTCGAACAACACAGACGTTCAGAGAGAATGACCCAAAAGCTGCTGAGTTTGGGAACAGCCTGGTGACCGCTGACCCCACCTGTCTAGGAGGAACTTGGCGAAGTCGGAATGTAAGTGAAATCCCAGCTGGTCCTTCACGTGGCACCACTGCTCCAGGTGAGTTCCCAGCCGGATGCGGGATTTGCTCCTCCTGGCATCAAGTTCCTTACGTTTCTGCCGTCTCACATCCTCGGACGCTCGGTGACGCGATGGCTTCCGGTCTTCCATCCTGCGGGAAAGAGGAGAGAGGGGTTAGCAGCAGCAAAATCCCCCGGGACACTGAGAAACCTCTGAATTCTCCCCGTGGGGCCAAACACAAAACTGTAGGCAGGCTGTTGAAGGAGCCGACCCTCGCTGTGCTCCCACTGTCAGCCAAGTTCAGAGAAAGGAACCGTCATCGATCTCTCGGAAATTGCTCTGCTCTGGACGCTGTATCTTCTGTCTGTTAAAAAAGACCCTCAACTACCTGCTCCCTGCCCAACATCTCTGTCTCTGGCTTGCTGCAGTGTTCCAGCAAAGCTTAGCGCAAGCTGGAGGAACAACACCTCATTTTCCGCTTGGGGACCCTGCAGCCCTCCCGATTCGATAATCGAATTCCTTTTGGTCCTTCACCCACCCCTACATCCCAGGCCTTGTCATGCCATGGGTTGCTTTCAGCACAGCGAACCCATTCCCACCCACTAATGGTCCCCATTATCGGCTCTTGTGTCTCCCTGGCTCGCCATTATCCATTCCTTGGTGCGTCTGTCATTCTCTCTCTCTCTCTCTCTCTCTGCATGTGGTCTCCATTTCCACCGTTCCTCTCACTCCTTCTCCCCTCCCCACACCCAACTTCAGCACGGATGTTTTGGCCCTGAATCAAGAATCATAACTTAGCTCCGGGAGTCGGTCTACGAGAAGAGATTATACTAATCAGACTTGTTTTCTCTGAAATTTAGAAGCTTAAGGGGTGATCTATTTGAGGTTTTCAGGATTTAACAGAGGAAGACAGGATAGATAAACTAATTGGAGTTCAAGTCGTTAGCTCCCTGGAAGTGGTCCATGAAAGTAGATAGGTTGGTAAAAAAACAGAGTATGGCATGCTTGGTCAGGGAATTGAGTTCAAGAGTCAGGATGTCACGTTGGAGCTTTATAAGACTTTGGTTAGGCTGCACTTAAGAGTATTGTGTTCAGTTCTGGTCAGCACATTACAGGAAGGACATGGAGGCTTTGGAGAGGGTGCAGAAGAGGTTTATCAGGATGCTGCCTGGATTAGAGGGTATGAGCTTTCAGGGGAGGCTAGAAAAACTCAGGTTGCTTTCTCTGGAGCGGAAAAGGCTGAGGGGAGACTTGATAGTAGTCTGTAAAATTATGAGAGGCATAGACAGGGTTGACAGTCAGAATCTTTTTCCCCAGAGTTGAAATGTCTAATATTAAATGGCATTTATTTAAGGTGAGAGGGGGAAAGGAGATGTGAGGATCAAGTTGTTTTACACTGAGAGTGGTAGGAGTCTGGAACGCGCTGCCAGGGGGTGGTGGGGGCAGATACAATAGGGGTGTTTAAGGGGCTTTTAGATAAACACATGAATGTGTGACGGATGGAGGGATATGGACTAAGGGCAGGCAGAAGGGATTGGTTTAATTTGGCATCAAGTTCGGCACAACATCCATTGCTGTAAGATTCGAGAACCAGGGCCATGGTCGAAGAATTAGGGCCAGAACATTCAGGAGAGATATTAGAAAGGATTCCTACATACAAAGAGTAGGTTTGGGGCGCTCTTCCTCGAATGTTAAATTTAAATCTGAGGTAGCCTTGCTTCATAAACATTTGTGGATGAAGGGATATGCAACTAAGTTAGGCCTATGGAGTTAAGCCACAGATCAGCCACGATCTTACTGAATGACAGTAAGGGGCTTCAGGGGCTGAATGGCCTATTCATATTCCTATCAATATCACCCTTTCCTGCCTACCATCCCTTCCGAAGATAGGTCAAAACGCAAACTCTGCTGCCTTGCTAAAGACTCCAGCAGATGTGCTGAGATTCCCCAGCAATTTCTGTTTCTCATGTTCTGGATTTCTGCAGATTTTAACGTGAGGCGATGAGATTAGTAACAAGTGTCTCTCCTGTCGCGGCTCTGAAGTGGGAGGGAGCGCAGTGGGACACGTCTCCTTCATCCCGTAGCAGGGTGAGGGGTGACCTTACAGAGTTTTGTAAAATCGTGAGGGGTATGGAGAGGGTTAATGGTAGGTGTCTTTTCCCTAGGATGGGGGATTTCAAGACCGGGAGCATATATTAAGGTGAGAGGAGAGAGAATTTAAAAAGACACAAGGGGCAATTTTTCTTTTCTCTTTACACAGAGGGTGGTTCGTGTGTGGAATGAGCTTCTGAGGAAGCGGTGGATGTCGGTACAGTTACAACGTTTAAAAGATATTTGGATAAGTTCATGAATAGGAAAGGTTTGGAGGCATATGGGCCAGGAGCAGGCAGGTGGGGAGTCGTTTAGTTTGGTATTATGGTCGGCACGGACTGGTTGGACCGAAGGGTCTGTTTCCGTGCTGTATGACTCTGGGAGAATGCTTAAACATGTAACAGGACTAAGAAAACGGGCGAGAATCCAACAGGAACGGGCAGAGACTTTGACACGTAAATAGATCGAACGTATCTGCAAACTGAAAGCAGCAGCAGTCAACAGGGTAATCACCACATCGCCCTTGGTCACTGTACCCCCGACCACAGCATAATCTCCCTCTGTCAGTGTCTTTGATCAAACAGCCCCATTGACGTTCCCAGCATTGAGTTACTCGAGTGAGCAATTTAGTTTGTGGGTGTGAGTCAAGTCAACGCGATGATGAGGATATCTGTGCTCACGGATTCCCTGTTGTTTAACTGACTAACTAATCACCTACGTGCCATTTAATGTAAGATTGTAATAGACGAGAGCTGGAGTTGACAATTTCCCCTTCACAAGTTAACCACCCTCCCCAACCCAATACTCTATAACACTACAGTCCCCCGCACTGCCCTACTGTCCATCCATTTTCTTAAAGCACAAACCTCTAATGCCCTCTTCCTTTACTATTAATTCTTTCACAGGATGTGTGCAACCCAGGCACTGCCTATATTTGTTTTAACCCCAGCCGGGAGCTGGGAGGTCAAGAGTGAAGCACTTTGCAAGAGGCCGAAAGTTACGTTTTGATCAGACCGGGTAAAGATGGCAGGACTGAGTAAGGGCTTAGGACAACACTGTGGCTCAGTGGTTAGCGCTGCTGCCTCATGGCGCCAGGGACCCGGGTTCAATCCCACCCTCGGGCGACTGTGGGGTTTGCACATTCTCCCCGTGTCTGCGTGGGTTTCCTCCCACAGTCCAAAGATGTGCAGGTTAGGGTGGAGTGGCCGTGCTAAATTGTTCCCTGGGTCCAGGGATGTGCAGGTTAGGGTGGATTGGCCATGCTAAATTGTCCCCGGGTCCAGGGATGTGCAGGTTAGGGTGGATTGGCCGTGCTAAATTCTCCAAAGTGCCCAGGGATGTGCAGGCTAGGTGAATTAGCCATGGGAAATACAGGGTTACAGTGACAGAGTTGGGTCTGGGTGGGACGCTCTTCGGATGTTTGGCCTGGACTTGATGGGCCAAATGGCCTGCTTCCACACTGTAGGGATTCCATGACAAGAGATTTCCTTCCCTGGACGGCATTTCTGAGCCAGTTCAGTCTTTATGGTCGATCACAGTTTCAGGGTCACCCTTACAATTTGGATTGGTTTAGATGTGGGAAGATGAGAGGAGACTCGAGTGGAACGTTAATTCCCAGTCTATCTTGTTTGGACTGAATGGCCTGCAGTTCGCTGTCGAACCCGTATTATCACCGAGACTTGCCTCCACTGGGATCCAAGTCCCCCAGGTCTTGAACTTCTGTCCCCATTTGCCTCTGGATTCCTTGGACCACCAGGTCAGCTTTTCTTTCACGCAAGTTTCATGGAGCAGAGATTCACAATTTGCTGTTTGAAGGAACTTCTCCTCATCCTGGTGACCTCTTGTCCCACATTCACCATGATGAGGAGGAATTGGGGGTGAGGGCTCGATGGGGTGCTTTTGTGATTGCCCATTTCACAGAAACGCAGACAATAGAGGAGTAGGCCATTCGGCCCATTGAGCCTGCTCCATCATTCAATGTGACCTCGGCTGATTTTCCAACTTCCCGCTTTCTCCACAAACCCCTGGATCCCTTCAGCCCTCAGAAATGTATCTAACTCGGAAAGTCATAGAGATGTACCGCATGGAAACACACCCTTCGATGCAACTCTTTGATACCCACATATCCTAAATAAACCTCATCCCATTTGCCAGTATATCCCTCTAAACCCTTCCTATTCATGTACCCATCCAGATGCCTTTTAAATGTTGTAATTGTACCAGCCTCCACCACTTCCTCTGGCAGCTCATTCCATGTACACACCACCCTCTGCGTGAAAAAGTTACCCCTTAGGTCCCTTTTAAATCTTTCCCCTCTCACCTTAAACCTATTCCCCTCTAGTTTTGGACTCCCCCATCCTGGAGAAAAAGACCTTGGCTATTTACCCTATCCATGCCCCTCATGATTTTATAAGCCTCTACGAGGTCACTCCTCAGCCTCCGAAGCTTCAGGGAAAATAGCCCCAGCCTAGTCAGCCTCTCCCAGTAGCTCTAACCCTCCAACCCTGGCAATATCCTTGTACATCTTTTCTGCATCTTTTCAAGTTTCACAGCATCCTCCCTGTGGCAGGGAGACCAGAACTGAACGCAGCATTCTGAACATTCAGTGTTTCAGCCTCGTCCACTTTCAGTGGCAGAGACTTCCACAGGACACCCCACCCCCGCGCCCCCCCCCGCCCCCAACCCCCCCCCCCCCCCCCCCCCCCCTCGCTCTCGGTGAACTCGTTTCTCCTCGCCATAGCAGCCTATCCCTTAACCTTAAACTGTGACCCCTCCCGTTCTTGTCGCTCCAATCAATCCCTCCTCTGGGGGTCTCATCTCATCCCTGCTGACGGAATGTTTCTGACCCTCCTCACCAAGTGGCAAGTTGAAGAAACATTAACAAGGAGGAGTCCAGCTGTGCTTTCGGACGTGGAGATGGGGTGGTGCAGGGACAATGCCCTGGTAACTCCCAGGCTGACGTCTGGGGACTGGCAGCTGGCAAGAAAGCCAATCCAATTCATTAAATCTACAGCCGAAAGCTGGCCTCTGTAATCGTGACCATGACACAACTGCTGACTC